AGTGAATTATTAAATTGAAATATTAAATAAAATAACTGAATTAAAAGTAATCACGTAAGCTTTGAAGGAAATGTTTGGTAGCTGTACTTGATTTAACCTGTTTTTCCGATCCGTTCATATGCTTAAATACAATTACTTGGCGTTAAATAAATGCTCGAATGATATTCCAAATAGTTACCAAATTTGCATATACATTTCAGAATTTGAACAAATTAAAAGTTCATTTCATTTGGATTTGATTACATGCAGATTGTTTCCCATATTTATTACTCCTATTGTCTTTTCTCTGGAAGGATTTTAACTTCTCATTTGCATACCACACATCATCCTTCACTGGACTTCTTGATGAGGCAGGTCCTAAGACTTCTTCATTTATACAGAAAGGCTTATAAATTAAAATTGTGGCACAGCCCTTCTGCTACAGACAATTTTCTTACATTGTGCATTATTATTGAAGATTGGAGAGGAGGGGGATGTAGCTGTACTCCTTTTATCAGCTCAGCACCAGGAATATGTTTACATGGTTAATGAGCATGTCTAAGACAGCTTGTTGGTTGTAACTCATCACTAAAAATATTTTCCACTATTGGTATGCATTCCCCCATCACCAAGTAGGTAAAAGTCGAAAAGTAAAATCATGAAGTCAGGCACACATGGCCTCCAAATAATGTGCTTCATATTTATATTTTTGCTTCTTCACATGACACTGTCCTCAAAGCTGGATTGACTATTGTCAAGCACTGTGGCTGTGATCAAAAGGAATGCGTGGCGGTGTTTCACAAGTATGCAACATTTCAGAGGTGGATGGAGGTCTTTTTAGTCTCCCCACCTTCCTATATTAGTCCTCCACCCATTTCACCCTGAAAAATGATCAGCTCTCAGAGGCTCTTCTGTAGTACTTGACATATGATTAGAACCTGTCCATAATATTGGTGGTAAGTAACTTTGTAGTACAAGTAGATTTCATGAGTCTTTTTTTAAAGCTTTCTCTACCATCTAGTTTTTCATGCAGACACATGCATGAGGAAATATACATTATATTTAGGCTTAAGGCTTTTGCTATTAAGAGAAACTCTTTCCCCCTTTTCAATGCTCCTAAATAGTCTCTCTCATGTAGTTAGTATTGAACCAGAGCCAACTCACCTGATGTATTGTCTGTTGATTCAGATAACAAGCAGTAATGACTGTATTTATTAGTAAATAGTTCTATAGTGGGTTAGTGTGAAATTTTCAGGCTGTATAGCCATGTTCCAGTAGCATTCTCTCCTGATGTTTTGCCTGCATCTGTAGCTGGCATTTTCAGAGGTTCTGTTGCTAGTGAGGAAAATGGGGTATATACAGGGTGAGGCAACATAACTTCCTTTTTTAAAATGCGCGCCATTCAGTCAGTTGAAGATGTAGCGGAGTGCTAGTGGTCTTGTTCGAGAGGCGGGAGTATAAAGTTTTGTCCTGACACAGTTCAGTCGCCATCATGCATTGGAACAGTGAGGAGTGTGCTTTTGCCGTTGAGGCCTACTTTTCAAGCGGATTTGGAGTGGCCGGCCCGCTCTCCAGATTTGGCCCCTTGTGATTTTTTTCTATGGGGTTTTTTGAAATCCCGTGTTTATGTGAATCATCCAAGGACCCGACAAGATTTGAAGACCAACATCCAGGAAGAAATTGCCAACATAACGCCTGCTATGCTGGCAAGAGTCATGACAAGTGCCAGAAATCGGTTTACTCAGTGTATGGAGAATAGGGGACATCACCTACCTAATTTGATCTTCAAAACTACGTAAAACAAAACCTTAGGTATGCACCTACATTATAAAAAATATATAATTTTCTGATTCATACAATGGGTTTTATTAAATTTTGAAAAAAGGAAGTTATGCTGCTGTACCCTGTATATATTTGCCACACCATCCCTGCAAATGAAAAAGCCACACACATGATTGAGTTAACTAAGGGCAGCTTTTATTATTGTTACCTAATTAAGAATCAATGCCTGCCATGACTCCACCCAGAGGAACTACTTTCAGGCATGCCTTTTTGGTGGCGGAGGCGGCAAAAACCTGTGGAAGGTCCAGTGTGGGAGAAAGAGGCCTAGTTTGTTTGAAGCAAGCGTGAATGTTGCAATTAGCAAGCTTGATTATCATTGAGTAGGAAAGTCAATCAGTGGGGGTATTTGCACAGGTAGCTTGGTTGTTGACTGGCACTTAGTTGTTTGCTGTCTGGAATTCCCCTGTTGCTGAGTGGTGTTTTTCTTATTTACAGTCTTGATTCTGGTGTTTTTTTAATACTAGTAACTAGATTTTGTTCATTCTCATGGATTCCTCCTTTCTGTTGAAATTGCCCACAGGCTTGTTCTCCTATACTTTCTCAGTAATCATTCTTCATTCTGGGGGTCTGTCTACATTGACCACTTAAGTCAGTTTCAAACTGGTACTTTAAAAAGTGGTTTTTTTGTGCAGATTAATTACATAGGGAATCCTGTAATCAGTTAGAGGCCAGATGGTGATTACATAAACCACGAAGCAATGATGCGCATCCATGACCTTCTTTCACGTCCTTTTGTTTTGTTTGTTGTTTGGCCAGCACAGTTTGAAACTAACTTTGAATTACATTAAATGATCAGTGTAGATGGGTCCTGAGTAGCCATCATTTTCAGTTTGAAGAAAGAGTGACTTGCTGTGTAAGGGTGCATCCGCACTGTAAAAATGAATGTAGTTTGACATCTCTTTAATTGTCGTGGCTTGATGCTCTTGAATTATGCGAGGCTTGTAGTTTTATAAGGCCGTTAACTTTTTATACCAAAGAGTGATAGTACTTCAATAAGCTAAACATCCCAAGATTGTTTGACATTGAGCCATGGTTTGTTAAAATTGATAAATTGTTGATATGAATATTACTCGTGGTTATGTTTGAATTTTAAATATACAGTCCTGAGTTACATTTAGCAGAAACTGAAATGCAATTAATTAGGATGAGAAGTGTATGTAATAGTTTGATAGTTGCTTTTGCTTGAGTAGGGAGACCGTCAGTTGTGTTTATAATGTTTTTTTATTTTTATATTCTTTGGGTTTTTTTAATGTGGGAATTTAGTTTACTGTTAGTTTTAGCTCGTAGGGATGGGGAGAAGAGATGGGAATATTATGGGGGTTTTCTGTGTGGATTCTTTTAATTTTTCTCATTTTTGTCTCTTTTATTATGTTATTTGTTATTATGGAAATATAACAACAATTGAAAGAGGAGAGTGCCACCTCATTCTAGACTACAGCTATTTTAATACATATCTTTTAAAATATATGCTTTGAGTCCCCCCAAGGGTGAGAAAGGCAGTATATAAATACTGTAAATAATAATAAATAAATAAATGTTCAATTATGAAGCCTAAATTCAGAATTCCAGTGCAGATAGATACATAGATAGATCAATCCTTATTTAATAATAATAGCAATAATAATAATAACAACAACTTTATTTTTACCCCGCCACCATTTCCCCAAAGGAACTCTGGGCAGCTCATGAAAGCACTCAAGAGTGCTGAATATAAAATAAACAATATATCATCATAACATAAAATTATAGCAACTACCACAACGAATGCACATAACATTACATAATAAAATGTTTAAAATTTATGAAACACAGAAGTACCTGCGGATAAAACTGGCTATCATCAATTAACAAACTAAAGTGTCGGAGTGAATAATCAGTCCACACATGCACCCATTTCAGTCTACTCAAGGTCAAAGACTCATTTAGAAAGCCATGCTTTTAGGCTAGATTAAAAGGTTTGGAGAGAGGGCTAACCTAATCTCTCTACGCAGGGCATTCCAGAGCTGGGGGGCCACCACTGAGAAGGCCCTCTCTCTCATCCCCACCAACTGTACTTGAGACAGTGGAGGGCCTCCCCGGCAGATCTCAGAGCCCACGCCAGTTCATAGAAAGAGATGCGATCTCAAAGATGGGTTGGGCCCAAAGCATTTAGGACTTTATAGATAATAACCTGCACTTTGAATTGGGCCCGGAAACTTGTCGGAAGCCAGTGGAACTGCTTTAATAGGGGCGTGGTATGCTCCCTATAGCTAGCCCCAGTTAGTAATCTGGCTGCCAACCTTTGCACTAACTGCAGTTTCCGAGCTGTCTTCAAAGGCAGCCCCACGTAGAGTGCATTACAATAGTCTATTGTGGAATGGACTACTGTACCACCCTGAGTTCCTTCAGGGAGAGAGGGCAGTCTAGGAATAAAGTTTTGTTATTATTTATTACATTTGCTCCCCTTTGACTTTCCTGCCTTGAGCAGGAATGTCTGAAGGAGGCTTCTCCATGTTCACTTATTGTGCTCAGACTCCTGTATGATCTGGAACTTTGTTTTATCAAGTTTGCTAATTGTAGGGAGTCTCCTCTGTTTAGTAGAGATCCCTTTCAGACCTCCCTGCCCAACAAAGGGAATTCAAGAGCTAGGAAGGTCATCCTAGTAAACAAAAGAACTCTTTGTTAAGGCATAATTCTTGAGGAATTGCTTTTGATTGTTCTAGATCAGTGGTTCCCAGCCTTTGGTTCTCCAGGTGTTTTGGACTTCAACTCCCAGAAATCCCAGTCATCTTACCAGCTGTTAGGAATTGTGGGAGCTGAAGTCCAAAACACCTGTAGGACCAAAGACTAAGAACCACTGTTCCAGGTGGTTTTTGAAGGACATTTTCCAATTACTGAGATGTTGGTAAGTAGCTCTGTAGTTTTTAACATATGCCGGAATGTAATGGAATTGAGAATACTGATTAGTTACTCATTTACCAGTTCTCTCTCACCAAATTTAACAACTTTTTTATTAAAGTAATTATGCAGTATTTGATGGAGGGAAAACTTGAGCTGTTCTTACAGGATTTGTTCCCAAGTTGCCTTCGTCTTCCACATCTCCTCAGTCCAACAGTTGCCTCTCTTTAGGTATAGTATCAGACTAGCATCATTACGCCAAAGAGTTCAATCAGTCCTTTTTGTTTCTCTTTGTTTTGCAGACATCAAAGATTTGAAAAAGCATTTCTACTTGCTATTGATATAGGTGCCCATGACTTATTTATGGTGAGTTATTTCTAAAGGATTTTCATTCTTATTATTAATTATTTTTATTAATTATTAATTATTTTTAATATCATGATATTTAATTCTGTTTTAATGTTGATATATGTGTAGGTTTTAAATTGTACTGAAATGCTTTTAATGTAAGCCACTTTGAGTCTCCTTGTGGAGAGAAAAAGTGGAATCTATATATTATTATTATTAGGGTTATCTATATATTATCATTTGTCCTGGGGGGGTGTACTCCTACGACAAAAATGTCGTATTAAGACATATCTGTGGTCCTTCTCTCAGTCCTGCCACCATTACAAGTGCGGTTGTTGGGGATGAGGGAGAGGGCCTTCTCGGTGGTGTGTCCCCCCCCAGCTCTGGAACACCCTTCCCAGGGAGATTAGGCAGCCCCCCACTTTCCTCCTTCTGTGGAAATCTGAAGACTTGGATGTTTACACAAGCTTTTGAAAACATCAAGTCCCTATTGGTTTACGAAGTAATGACATAGCGCTGCACTTCTTCCCATGTCTTTGTTCCATGGCTACAGTTTAGCACTATCCCACTCCCTTGCTTTTTTGTTTACAGTCTGGCGGTGTTCTTCAGTTCCTTGTTGCCATAGGTTATTGTGTGCTGTTTTTGATTGTTGTTTTATATGCCATGTGTTTTTTATTTTATTGCACTTGTATTTTGTGGTTCATTTTATGGTTCATCTATAAGCTGCCCCTAGTCCCCTCGGGGAGAGAGTGGGGGAGAATACAAGAATAAAGTTGATATTATTATTATTTGAAACACAACAAGACGAGTCCACAGCAAACAAGGTCACTCTGCTGGCTGTTGTATTGGATCACACGTCGGACACTTATAATAGTGTCTGACGTGTGATCCAATACAACAGCCAGCAGAGTGGCCTTGTTTGCTGTGGACTCGTCTTGTTGTGTTTCAAATAATAATAATATCAACTTTATTCTTGTACTCCGCCACTTGTAATAGTGTCCGACGTGTGATCCATTACAACAGCCAGCAGAGTGACCTTGTTTGCTGTGGACTCGTCTTGTTGTGTTTCAAATAATAATAATAATAAAAATTATTATTATTATTATTATTATTATTATTTCTTTAATGGAAAAAACTAGGTATGGATACTTTAGATAAATAAAATGCAGCTTCTTTAAAGTGCTAAATAGTTTTGCGAAGTATTTTCATGAGCCTACTTGACAGGCTATTGAATCAACTAGCCTCAAGCCTGAAGAAGATAATAGGGTCATTTTTGGAGGGTTCATCTCTTACAGTCAGATTTTTCAAAGTGATACAATTAATATGTCTTACAAGCAAAGAGCTATAATCCCTAGGTATGAAAGCGAAATGCATCCAGTGGCAAAGGAGGATGGGTCGAAGCCTAAAGAAGAAAAAGCTCTTAGATTTTGGAAAGGATCCCGATTTATTGACAGCTGTTAAAGAGAGGAGTCTAGCACTCAGCTTGGCATAAAATAGGGATTTTTAAAAGTTTCTAGCCAATTAAAAGGTTGGACTGGAAAGCATTCAAATCTTGAGGGTCAAATATTGAATAATTGTATTGCTTTCCCTGCTTTCTATGTATTATTTATTTATTTGAAATGCGAATATCTCCAATTGTCAGAATTCCAAGGTGATGTATCCATTAAACCCATTAAAATAGCTAAGTCAATAGTGAAGATAAAAAGTCTTCATAAATCAAATGTTGAAAACATTAATGCATAGTCAGATACATTAACAGCTGCCAAAACACGATCAGTGTTGGCTCCCGTTGTACTACATGGGAAGGAATTCCAAAGGCAGCGTGCCATGATAGAAAATGCCTTTCTCCTCGTAACAGCCAGATGAACCTATGCCAATAGGGGCCCTTGGTCTATAAATCTCTGTGAACAAGCACTGATACAGCAGAAGCATATCCTCAGGTAGTCTGGTCCCAAGTTCTTAAGACCTTTATGCATTAATAACATGGCCTGGCTCTGTAACATATTGGCAGCCAATGCAACATTATTATTATTATTTGGAAAAGAACAACATAAAACAAATTCCCAGATGTAATGGAGAGGTTGACAAGGTTTGTCAAGCCCACAGACTGTTATCCCTTCATTCTGCTCCATGTTGGAACCAATGTTCTGGACACCACACAGGATTGCGAGCCTGTGGAGAGAAAGCTGAAGGACCTTGATGCATAGGACTTCCTAGACCATAGTCTGAGGTTCAATGAAGTTGGGCTTCTGGGAAGGAATGGTTTGCACCTCACAGAGGTTGCCAGGAATGCTTTTTGCTAAGAGTCTCACAAATCTGACGCTGAATTTATTTATTTATTTACAACATTTGTATCCTGCCCATATCAGCCCGAAGGTGACTCAGGGCAGCGTACAAGTTGGCAACAATTAGATGCCATATATAAAAATACATGCATCAATAAAAAGCAAAAAGATCACAATACATTTAAAAACCACAAAAGCAATGAATAATAAAAATTATAAAAACTATGTCTTCTTGTTCAAATCCTCAACCGTTCCATCGTCTTAGCCGTTCCTAGTTCATTTTCCGATTTGAGTTTTTCTGGTCATGCTGCGGTTCCAAATGCTTGCTCAAAAAGCCAGGTTTTCATTCTTTTTCAAAAGGTCAGGAGGGAGGGGGCCAATCTAATATCCCTAGGCAGGGAGTTCCACAGCCGAGGGGCCACCACAGAGAAGGCCCTGTCTCTCGTCCCTGCCAAGCGTGCTTGTGAAGCAGGCGGGATCGAGAGAAGGGCCTACTCAGATGATCTCAAGTTCCTGGAGGGTTCATATGGAGAGATGCATTCAGATAGATAAGATGGGCCGGAACCATTTAGGGCTTTATAGGCTAAAGCCAGCACTTTGAATTGTGCCCAGTAGAGGGAATTGTGCCCAGAAGACAGATCAGAATTCAAAATGACTTTAACAGGCTAGAGAGCTATACCCAAACTATCAAAATGAATTTCCACAGGGAGAAATGTATGATACTACACTTTGGTAATAAAAATGTAATGCACAGATATAGGACAGCTGACACCTGGCTTGAAAAAAGAACAATTGAAAGGCATCTAGGAGTCTTAGTAGACCACAAGCTGAACATGAGTCAACAGTGTGTTGCAGCAGCTCAAAAATACAATGTGATTCTGGTCTGCATCAATAGGAGTATAGTGTCTAAATGAAGGAACGTCATATTCCCACTCTATCCTGCTTTAGTTTGATCTCACATGGAACATGGTGTTTGAGCACTACTATTCAGGAAGGGTATTGCTAAACTAGAACGTAGCCAGAGAAGGTTGATCCATGACCAAAGGTTTGGAAGCCAAGCCCTACAAGGATCACCTTAGGGAGTGGGGTATGTTTAGCTTGGAGAAAAGAAGGCTGAGATGAGACATGATAGCCATGTTTAAATATTTGAAAAGATGTCACATTGAGGAGGGAGGGGGTGAGCTTTTTGACCAGGACACGCAGCAATGGATTCAAATTGCAAGAGAGATAAAAAGATTTCATCCAAACATTAGGAAGAACATTCTCAGAGTTAGAGCTATTTGGCGGTGGAATATGCACCCTTGGAGCATGATGGAGTCTCCTTTTTTGGAAAGTTTTTAAGCAGAGGCTGGATGCATAGCAGGGGGTTGAATTGGATAGCCCTTGTGGTCTCTTCCAACTCTATGATTCCATCCTTCAGACTGTCCTGAACAGGCATAATATCTTGAACCTGTGGAATTTGTCATCTTGATAAACAGGTTTTGATAATGATTTATTCTGACAAGCAGTGATTACTGATTGCTTCTGACTTGATCTCAATTTTAAAGTCTTGCTCAATATTTTGAAATCTTGTTCCAATGTTCTGCCTGGCAAGGTTATGCCTGTAAATCATTAATAATGTAAACATGCCTCCATCCTTCTTGTTCCCAGAGTTCTAAGATTAGGCTGAAACTATGACTCCAGTTTTCAAAGTTCCTAATAATCTTTTGTGGCATTGTAGTTAGATTTAGGCCCAAAACCTCATTTGGTATTATTGTTATGTATGCCGATGTTATTGATAAGGCTATTCACTTCTTTTTAATTGGCAAGAGTAGAGTTGACCTCTTGCTGTTGCTAAAAATCTCAGATTGGTTCCACCAGTTTTATGTTGTTTCCATCCTTAGTTCTTTCTGTCCTTTTGAATTGTCATTCCCCATTTTGAAAGATGTGACACTCAATTTGGGGGCTTGAATTTCACAGGTCTTGGAAATACATTTTGGAAGAGCGCATCAACAGCCTTTCATTCCTTGTTTCAGGACCGCTAATATGGCAGATTTGAGGCAGATTTGAGATTTAGCAATTAACTTGCTAAGCCTTTTGAAGTATGCAGCCATCTATCTGACTATATAATCTTTGGGTTGTTGTGAGTTTTCTCGGCTGTATGGCCATGTTCCAGAAGCATTTCCAGATAGATACCAAAGTCCCCCAAAAGTTGTTCCTGGGTTTTTGAATACCATATCCAGTAGTTCTGTCAGGGAGAGATAGTAAACCAGCAGTACACAACAAAATCTGACTCTTTGGCTCTGTGTTCGGTGACAACCTTCATATCCTGTTCCAGAGTCTTCTGTAGAAAGATATGGATCTGTTTGAACTACGATGCGTTTCCTGATCCATTAGCGCTCGGGTCTTGGCTGGTGCTGTCTGCTGATCCCACCCAGGTCAGCACTTAAATTTATTTATTTATTTATCGTGTCATCAGCAACCAGACATTTGTATTACATTTTTAACAAAAACAAAAAGACAAACAGACAAAACACAATTTGCAAGCTTGGTAGTTTATTAAATGTCCTTTGACCAGTATCTGGCCACTTGGAGTGCCTCTGGTGTTGCCGCAAGGAGGTCCTCCATTGTGCATGTGGCAGGGCTCAGGGTGCATTGCAGCAGGTGGTCAGTGGTTTGCTCTTCTCCACACTCGCATGTCGTGGATTCCACTTTGAGGCCCCATTTCTTAAGGTTGGCTCTGCATCTCGTGGT